GTCATGGCCGGAAAATTTTCAAACGATGATTCGACGGGTTCAAGTAAGATTCGAAGGAAAAGGACAGTGGATTCGGATAGAGGAGGAGAAGGGGAGTTCATGGTATTATTTTGAGAGTCATTTGCATCGGCGCCGCCATCGCCGACGGTGGGGAATTAGGGCAGCGCCGCTAGGGTTTCTGTGAGGGGAGGGCTTTGAAAGAGACGAGATGGGGGTAGGGGGGTTCCGACCGTTAAATATTAATGGGTCTAAGCTTCCTGACCGTCTGATGAATTAACATCGACGGCCAGGATTAATTGGGTTCAATACGGGGTCGTTTGGGGGGACAAAGATTTGGACCGGGTGGAGGACGGGTTGGGCCTGGGCGTGGGGTGATTTAGGCGTGGTTATTTTATTTTGGGCTTAACAATTTGGCCCAAATTCGGGTCATTTAGAAGACAGCCTTCTTTTCCATCATTTTTGTTTTGCCTTCTTTCAATTCTTTTTTGTGTTTTCATTTTGTATTTATATTTTTTCTGATTTTATATAAATAAAAAATTAAAATAGAGACCTAATTTATTTCCAAAATGAAGCTAATTAATTCCTAAAAATTGATTAAGTCCTATTTAAAGTAAACTCAAGAAAAATTAAACAATTAACAATTAAAAATGCAAAAATGGACTATTTTTGTTATTTTCTTTAAATTTTGTTCTAAAAACAACTTAACCACTAAATAATCCTAAAATATGAAATTAGATCCTAAATGCAAATGTCATGCGAATTTTTTTTTATATATTTTTCATATGAATTAAAATGCGCAAATAAAACGCAAACAATTAACAGAAAATAACACAAAATTCACAAAAGTGTAAAATAATGAAAGAAAAATTATTTTGTTTGAATTTTTGGGAATAATTCATATATAGGGCAAAAATCACGTGCTCACAGCTGCCCCTCTTTGCTCGGAAACATGAAGAGTTTTCGGGCAAAGATAAGTGAGCAAATACGAGCGATTTTTGCCCGTTTGAATATTCCGTGTGAAGCATTTTTGAAAGAGTTGACCGCACCCTGCTTCGGAGGTTGCCTGCATATCCTTGGCTAAAAAGGAATCAGGTCAGTGTAGTTCAGGAGTGTCTGGTAGCTGGGACTACCAGGAGCTGTGATTTCACTGCGATTGCTGCTGGTACTGCTTGCTGACCTCCCTTATTACACCATGTCAAAGATAAAAAGAAGCTAAACTAGCTATGCTCTATGAATTACAAAAGTCCTATCTAAATTCTTCAAACTTGCTCTTGTACTTCCTTGTTGCCTTGTTGTCTTGTGTTCTCCTGGTGAAATCCCTTGTTGCCACTTCAATTTGTAAACTGAACTGTTGTTCCTTCTCTTCAAACTGTTGAACTTGAATGTATTTCTCTGCTATGCGGGCGGGCTCCCGACTTCAAAACTTGAACCTGAATGTATTCCTCTGCTATACGGGCGGGCTCCTGACTTCAAAACTTGAATTGTATTCCTCTGTTCTCCAGGCGGGCTCCTGACTTCACAAAACAGACACAACAAAGAAAACTTTCTGCCCCAGTTTGAAAACTGGGTACATGTTACTGGATGAAAATTTAAAAACTAAAACTTGAATTGTAATACCTCTATTCTCCAGGCGGGCTCCTGACTTCAAAACTTGAACTGTATTCCTCTATTCTCCTGGCGGGCTCCTGACTTCAAACTTGAAATGTATTCCTCTGTTATCCAGGCGGGCTCCTAACTTCACAAAATAAACCAAACAAAGAAAACTTTCTGCCCCAGTTTGGAAAACTGGGTACATGTTATCGGATATTAAGAATTAAAACTAAAACTTGAATGGTAATACCTCTGTTCTCCAGGCGGGCTCCTGACTTCAAAACTCGAACTGTATTCTTCTATTCTCCAGGCGGGCTCCTGACTTCAGCAACTTGAATGTATTCCTCTGTTCTCCAGGCGGGCTTCTGACTTCATAAAAACAGACAAAACAAAGAAAACTTTCTGGCCCAGTTTGGAAACTGGGCGTTACGTTACCAGATATTAACAAGAATTTGAAAAATAAAGCTTGAATTGCAATACCTCTGTTTTCCAGGCGGGCTCCTGACTTCAACGACCTGAATTATATTACTCTGTTCTCCAGGCGGGCTCCTGACTTCAGCAACTTGAATTGTATGTCTCTGTTCTCCAGGAGGACTCCTGACTTCAACAAAATAAGCAACCACAGAAAATTTTCTGCTCCCGGTTTGGAAGTTGGGTGTATGGGTGAGTGTTAAACTGAATTATATTACCAAATATTACTAAGAATTGAAAGCTAAATCCTATTATCTAGGGAGGTCCTGACAACTCCTAACAATTACGAACCTAAAGTATTACTCTCACTACATCATGTTATCTAGAACCTAAAGTATTACTCTCACTACATCATGTTATCTACAAGGGGTTTTAAACTACATCCTATTATCCAGGAAGGTCCTGATGACTTCTAACAATTACGATCCTAAGGTATTACTCTCACTATATCATGTTATCTACAAGGTTTTGAACTACATCCTATTATCCAGGAAGGTCCTGACAACTCCTAACAATTACAAACCTAAGGTATTACTCTCACTACATCATGTTATCTACAAGGGTTTTTAAACTACATCCTATTATCCAGGAAGGTCCTGACAACTCCTAACAATTACAAACCTAAGGTATTACTCTCACTACATCAAGTTATCTACAAGGGTTTTTAAACTACATCCTATTATCCAGGAAGGTCCTGACAACTTCTACTTGAATTTTATCCTAAACATGCAAACTTTCATTCCCCTATGCTATTCATGATTATCTTGTATTTTAATCACACTACACTTTTGCGGTCAAACCTGATTACTGCTTGTTTTTCCTTTATGGAGAATTCCTCCTGAACAACCAACTTTTCTGCCCCTGTTTCAATCAAAGAAAATTTTGTCAGTTTAAAATGGTGGTTAGTTGATGGCATTCTTGCTGAAAATCCTTCCAATGTATTGCTTTATTTTGACCAGCTTCCCCGAACTGGCCATGAACCGCTTGCCCTTTGACTGTCTTTCAAATTCCTGACTTTGACAAACCGAGTGTTCTGTACCCATGTTGTTGCTTCACACCTCTGACCCCTTTATCTGAACCTTTGCACTTCCCACGATATTTCCCAATCATTCCACCGATGACACTTCCGGTGATTCCCTGTATTCCACCTTTCATCACATTGTTTTTGACATGCTCTGACCACATCGTGCTTTACACTCTTCGGAATCTGGTAGTGAGTTTTGAAATCCCTTTTCACTTGCTTTGAACAAAACTGACATTGAAACATCTTAGACGTATAAAACCCCCAAAGGAAAATGAAATGCAATGATTTTACGAGTTAAGGATAGGAAGAATCCAAAACTGGATGAAGGAAAAGAAACTTATCTGACCGGAACAGCTGGTACCAATGATCACGACATGCATTTCGGACTAATCGGCCCAATCTGTTCAACCAATCCACTTCTACTTGCCATTCCTCATTGTCCCAGAATTTCCATCACTTGATTACTTTACCCAAACATTAGCCTTGTTCATCCTGCGGTGCCTCGAAACAGTTTTCCACCAGCAGACCTCTCTCATTTGTTCATTTCTTAACTCACTTTCGCCTCAAGGCGCCCGTGAGGGTTTTCACCAATAAGACTCTCTCATTTCAATTTCTCTCGACTCACGTCGCCTTACGGTGCCTGTGGAGGTTTCCACCAATAAGACTCTCTCATGTTTATTTCTCTCAGCTCTCGTCGCCTTACGGTGCCCGTGAGGGTTTTCACCAATAAGACTCTCTCATTTTCTAATTTTTCCTTCTTGGACCAGAGTGTTGCCCCAGACATGAATTTCCTTTACCTGCTTGACTTGGCATTTCTCAATGACAGATCAGAAGGTCTTTCTTTGGACCGTAATGTGGGCTTTTGGACGGTGTTAGAAAGAAAAGGTATAAAAGGCTCAAAAACAACTCAAAATGGGCTAAAATTACAACTTTCGGAATCATATCTTTCCAACAACCACAACTTCTGCCCCAGTTTCTTGCTTGGGGACTTTTGGATTTTTATTTTGGTATGACTGAACCTCAGAGAGGCTGCCTACATACCCTTTCGGGATCAAGTCAAACGTAGTTCACGTCGTAGAATTTACTTTGTTTTTGTGATTTTTCTTTCTCTTCTTTTTCTTCTCTGTTCTTCTTTTCTTCTTGTCTTTTCAGTTTTCCTTTTCCTTTCTTTTCTTTTCTTTTTCCTTTCTTTCTTTTCCTTCTTCTTTTTCCTTTCTTTCCTTTTCTCTTTTTCTTTTCTTTCTTTCTTTCCTTTTCTTCTTTTCTTTTCTTTTCTTCCTTCCTTTCTTTTTATGTACTCATCTTCGGCACTTGCGTTTCTTATTTGTGCCATTGATTCCGAAAGAGGGGTATGAAAGAAAATAAATACGGCTCAAAATGGGTGACAAAGGATAAAGTGTTTCAGATAGCAGAACAAAACGCCTTCGTCATTTCAATCTTCAAAATATGCCAAATACAAAACAAGTACAATCAAAACAAACAAAATCATACAGAGTACCTCTTGACCACATCGGAGTTGATGGCCATTTTTACACATTTTCCTTCCACATCTGTTAGATATAATGCACCACTAGACAACACTCTGGTTACAACAAATGGCCCCTGCCAGTTTGGGGCAAATTTTCCTTTTGCTTCAGCCTGATGAGGCAAGATACGTCTCAGCACTAACTGTCCGACTTCAAACTTCCTCGGACGCATTCTCTTGTTGTACGCTCTTGCCATTTTTGTTGGTACAATTGGCCATGCCACTGATACTAATCTCTTTTCATTAATCAAACTCAAATGTTCAAGGCGGGTGAAATTGTCATCATGTTCCAACTCATTATCACACTCAATTTCTTGTATTATTTCTTCAGAATAAGACCGGCTTTCGAGACTGGGCCGAGGATTCCTCATGCATGTCATGTTATTGATATCAGCATAAAAAGAACTGTACAGAGAAGAAAAACAAACTGAAACAGAATTAAGAATGAAGAAAGAAAGACAATTGCATTTCATTGAAGGAAAAGATAACAGGGTTTTAACTCATCCAAACGGACGGAACATAGTATCTGGACTATAGACCCTGAAATAATCCAGACAGCTTAAAGAAAACAAGACCCACTACCAAGACTTCCAGTCGTTGACTTTTGCCCATGGTCAGACGAACTGCACATTTGCCTTGCTTGACCCTCCCTCTGCTTCAACCATGTTTACCTCGGTGAATAATCCTTTGAACCCCTTTCCCACGCCTCCATCCGTACCACTCGATGACCCAAGAACCTTTGACGACAGCGGCTTGTTATCCCCCCCCCCCTTTCAACTGAAACACCACTTTCTCACTGGTTGACTCTTCATTCAAATTGGTTTTGCTAGAACGGATTACCTTCTGCGAAGGTTTCTTAGGCTTTCCTCCCCTATGCATCAATTCGATCACATGAGCCTCGTGGTGAGCTGGCAGCGGATTCTGGTTAATGTTTGGTGCCTCTGGGGCCTGAACCTCAATTTGGTTAGTGTCAATAAGCTCTTGCACAACAGTCTTCAATTTCCAACATTTCTCAGTATCATGTCCGGGAGCCCCCGAACAGTATTCACAACTCACTGACTGATCCAGATTTCTAGGATGGGGATTGGGCACTTTAGGCTCTATCGGGTTCAACAGGCCCAGCTGCCTCAATTTGTGAAAAAGACTGGTATATGACTCCCCCAGCGGAGTGAATATTTTCTGCTTCTGTACCCTTTCATTCCGGAAGGCTTGATTCCCACCGAAACCAGATCCTGGAGGATTTCTGTAAGCCCTTGGGGGTGGATATGTGTTTTGTGGAGGTGGGTATGTGTTTTGGGGAGCCGGTGCACGCCATTGCGCATGAGCCGGAGGCTGGGTATAAGTTTGAGCATGGTGAACGGAAAAATGTGGGTCTGGCGGTGAGTAGTAGTGTTGTGGAGGACCATATGGGGTGTATGGGAAATGTGGGAGGTGGGGTCTGGGTTGGTAGTAGGGTGAAGGGCTTCTAGATCTGGACCAAGCTCCGGCTTCGACTGTTGCAACCTCTTCTTTCTTCTTCTTTCCCAGCACACCCCCAGTGCCGCTTTGGATGGCCTGGGTGGTTGCTTTAATCGCTGAATAGCTCATGATTTTACCGGATTTCAATCCTTCCTCGACCATAGCTCCCATTTTCACTACTTCGTTAAAAGATTTTCCAATTGCCGTCACCAGGTGACCAAAGTAAGTTGGCTCCAAAGCCTGTAAAAAGTAATCCACCATTTCGCTTTCCCTCATTGGAGGGTCGACTCTCGCAGCCTGCTCCCTCCAACGGAACCCATACTCCCTGAAACTTTCCCCTGGCTTCTTCTCGAGTTTTATCAATGACAGGCGGTCCGGAACAATTTCTAGATTGTACTGAAAATGGCAGGCGAATGCTTGTGCCAAGTCGTCCCAAGTATACCACCTACCGTGGTCCTGTCGTGTATACCACTCCAAAGCAGACCCACTCAGACTCTGGCTGAAGTACGCCATCAATAATTCATCTTTCCCACCGGCCCCTCTCATTTTGCTGCAGAATCCCCTCAGGTGGGCCACCGGGTCACCATGCCCATTATACAGATCGAATTTTGGCATTTTGAACCCTCTGGGGAACTGAACATCCGGGAATAGACACAAATCTTTATAGGCCACACTGACTTGGCCACCCAACCCTTTCATGTTCCTGAAGGACTGCTCCAGGCTTTTTACTTTTCGAATCATCTCTTCCTGCTCCGGGTTTTTAAGCGGCTTTTCAGTTTCCACCGGGAGCTCAAAGTGAGGGGTGTAAGAATATGGCTCGGGAGCTTTAAAGGTAGGCTCGGGAGGATAGTACTGACTGTCGTGATCTTGAAACAGTGGCTCACTGGAAGATCTTTGCAGTGTGGCAGGTAGAGGCGCCACAAAGACAGGGGTGATTGGTGGAGGAGGGTTTTGTTTGGGTGGTAGAGCTTGGGGAGGGTAGGAAGTGGTGCATAGCTCTTTTGATGGAACGGGAAAGCTGGAGACGAATTCACAGTAGGAGGCTCCTGAGACTGAGCCAAAGGCGGAATATAGGCTGGATTGGCGGGATAAACTGGCGCCGGCTGACCCCTAGACCAAGCCTGATGTATTTCAGCCATTTGCTGCCTCAATTAATGCATTTCTTCCCTCATTGCATTAACATCCATCACCTCTACCTCTTTCGCCGGGTCCACAATACTAATATCCGATTCTTGGCCTGTTATTTTCAGCTTGTCTTTTGATCGGGTGTTGTAGGAGTGGGTTGCCAGAATGCCAAACAACTAACCACCTGCCTGGACTCAACATCAACAACAGCTTGGTTAATGGTTAGGGCATTATCAGATTTTATAACCGCACGTTGGGGAATGAATGCACCTAAGCAGTTAACGGATTCTATTATGCATTTACTCGATTGCTTGCGTCATCCCGGCTTTTATTTCTAATGGCAACTTTCTTTCTCTTTTTTTCTTTCTTTCTTTTCTTGCTTTTCCTTTCTTTTCTCTGTTTCCTTTTCAATTTTTGCCTTTATTTTCTGCTTGTTTCGGCTCTTTCACTCCCTCGATTTCTTATTTTCTCTCTTTTCTTTCTTGTTTTTCCGCTCTTTTCTTTCTCTCTTTTTTCTTTTTCTCTTCCTCTCTTGTTTTTCTTCTTATTTTCTTTTCCTTTTTATTTGGTTACGGTCGAATCCTATGAAGATTGCCTACGTATCATGACCCCGCATGAATCAGACCGGGCATAGTTCGTGAAGATAAAAGGTAAAAACAATAAAACAATTTTTGGCATTTTCAATTTTTCATAATAAAACAAACTTTGATTACAATGGTTTAAAAACTGACAAACTTAAACAAAACTATCGGACTCTGACTAAAAGACAAAATACCGACTCGAAAATCAAATATCCGACATACTCTAATCAAAGAAAAAACAGACTGACAAATTCTTTCCCCTATATGCCAATTTTTACCAAATGGCTGTTTTTGCAAACGTGGCCCCTTCCCACTTTCACATGAATTTTGAGGCCGGGGAGGATTATTTTATGACACTTGACAAACTTGTCCGTTCTTTACGAAAATAGCCTTTCGACAATTGAAAGATACTCTAAGGCTATCTCGGCAAGAATGGTTTAAGACACTGCCGAAGCTGGATCGACTTATTTTAACCAAAATCCAAACGGTACTCACTTGACCACTGACTCTTTTTCTTATTTTTCAAATTAAAATAAAAGACCTGGTTTCACGATCACGGCCTTTCAGCACCTCGAGAACGAAGATTTTAACGCTGCATTGGCTAACCGGCCAAAACCTTGAAAACTGACCAAAAGGTGGCTGTTCTTGCAAAAGCAGCCTTCCGGCGCCCTTTTAGGGACATTCGGCTATTTCTGGCAGGAATGGCTTCACCTGACTTATTCATGCCAAAATTTAAAACTTAGACATTTTTTGGCTATTTTTGCAAAGGGGAGGTTGGACCCGATGAGGGTTGCCTACGTATCTCACATCCGGTGAGAATCAAACCTGCATAGTTCGGGCAAATAAAACTAACTATTTTCGAAAACAAGACTCTTTTTCATTGACAAATACACTCTTTTTATATTTTCTTTTTCAACAAACCATTTGAAAATAAGACTCTCGGTTTTTTTCTTTTTACTGACAAATAAAACAAACCATTTTTTGAAAACAAATTTTCTTTTCCCTTTTTTCCTTTTTTTTCATTTTTCTCAAAAATTCGGCAGAGTTTTGACACTATTTTTACAAATAATTGACTTTCTACACTGCTATTTCTCTCCCTTTTTTTCAATTTTTCCCAAATACTCCAAAGCCGGTCAGCATGCAAGTCCGAGACAAATAAATGCATATGCAACACGTAAGATGCATCAGGATGGTCTTTTTCATTTCAGGTTACCTGTCCTAGACGGACCCAACCCCTGTGTTGAGTCCCCTACGGCAAATGCACGTGATGCAAATAAGCGTTCCTACTAGGGATCCGGCCTGAAGTCAAGTTATTCTAGGTTCAAAACCTGGGTATGTGTTTTAGACTGTGTACCCGAGCGGACAACTCGAGTCGAGGAGGGGGCTACGTACCGGGAGCCAAAAGGCCATCCGGCTTAGTAACTTATCCGAGCCTCTTTCTTATTTCAGGGTATTACACTAACAGAATAGGGAGTCTCAACCAGTAAGCACATCCCCGGAGGTGAGAAGAGAAGGGTTTCGACACAGTTTATATACAGTTCAGATAATATCAAAGCGGTAAAGCATTTAGCACATTTAGCATGAAACATGTAGGAAAATCAGATATAGCCAAATACAACAATTATTCTAAGCTCAAATTCTAAACCCTGAACGTAACGTTCTGGGCTCTTTTCCCCAGCAGAGTCGCCAGAGCTGTCACACCTCCTTTTTCACTACACCCACAAGGGCATAAAGGAGTTTTTCCACTTAAAGGACAATCGGAACGGGATTTATTATTAAAGTTCAGAGTCACCACTTGGGAGATTAATGGTGTCCCAAGTCACCGGTTGAATCCCGAACCGAGGAAAATATGACTCTGTTAACAGTCCGCGAACCAGAAATCCGAGTAAGGAATTCTGTTAACCCGGGAGAAGGTGTTAGGCATTCCCGGGTTCCGTGGTTCTAGCACGGGCGCTCAACTGTTATATTTGGATTTATCTGATTTCAAAACATGTTTTACCTTTTGTGCTTTTTTAACCATAAACCGCTTTTATCACGAGAATTGCAACGTCGTGAAAATGCGTCTCGAACCACGTCACATCAATGCACCCGTGGTTGTTGACACATTTCGACTCCGTTGAGATTTGGATTTGGGTCACATAAATGCGCACCCGAGTTTAAGAAGGTAGATTATTAAAAGCGCGCCTAAAGAGACTAACGCGTTATTATCTTTGGGGAAGGCCGTGAAATTCGCTAAACGGCCCATCCCGAAATCTAAGTATTTTTAGTATATATTTAAGGAGGGTCCCGCAATTTGCATTTTATTTGGCGAGGCGAGGCTCCTCATTATTTAAAGGGTGTACTGAAGCAAGCCACACTTTTCTACTTAATTTGTCTCTAACAAATAAAAAAGCCTAACCAATTATTAATTTTTAAGAATTATTATGTTTATATCCTCAAACTCCAGGTAACCCGCGTAAAGGAATCATGATCCAGGTCCAGCACAAATTGGACCAATCGCAGGCATGGGCCCAGGCCCAAACGAATATGCAAATCTGACCCAGGCCTGGGCCATTCATTTCGGCCTTGAAACCTATACCACTTGAAAGTGGACTGTCGAGTCCCAGCAAGGTTTCGATTCACCAATGCCCAATGATATTGTTTCAGACTATTATAATCAAAGTGATAATGAATGACTCAATTCTAATTTCCTGCCTAATTTTACACAACTAAATGATGACAGCATTATTCAGATGCATTAACCAGATCAAATCATTTACTATCTAAATCTCAAGACTAACTCGAGGAGCCCATTTCTAGTTCATGTGACAATTAGATTTTGAGCGAGTAATCAAGTGGAGTTGTTTGAGCTATGAATTAACACAGACAATTATGGAGAAGCTTAACTAATTAAAATGATTAGCTATTATACCACGTCATTCGTACAATTAATCAAATCTGATTTCATGCCTGCCTATGACCCTAGCATTTTAGATCTGGAAGCTACAGCAGTTAACTATTACAATCACAGACTCATCTTCATGTTAATGACATAGATAACTAGATTGATTACAGCAAATCTAAGTAGCTCATACAGTTCAGTACAAACTCATGATTATATAACCAATAGTTCAAAGTCTCTCTAGTTTAATTACAAAACAGGTTTCAAAAGTTCAAATTGATACTAAGGCGTATTTGAAATCTACAACTACAGGCTAATCTAATAGTGAAATACAGAGGCAAATTCATATGGTAGCAATGCTTCGTCATTTGATTTCATAATTGTTCAAATACATTGAGAAACTTCAAAGCATTAGATGTACCTGGAATTGGGCAAAGCAAAAAAGGAAACAGGATCAGCAAACAGCCAAGCGAAATTCAGCAGGCCCAGAAATGTTTAAATCAAACAGAGTTTAATAGATCCACTTCAAAACAGCACCAGATTCACCCAGAAATGCACACAGATGAACAAACAACCAACAGAAACACCCAAACCAGACTCAAGCAATCAAATCTAACTCGAAATCAACCAAAAGTAGAATCAACACACTTCGGAACAAGCTCAGTAATCAGAAAAGGAGAAGAGTTAGTGCCTAGAGCTTCAAATTTCACATAGAAGAGCAATGGAACAGTACATTTTTTGGGTTTTTGGAGAGTTTTTTGTTTTTGTTTTTGTTTTTTTTTGTAGAAAGTTTAGAATTCCAGAAGAAGATTTCAAATTTCGGATCTGGATTTGAATTTGAAACTATAGAGTATTTGGGGGGAATTTTTTTGAGGCTCCAAGCTTGTTAATGAAGGCATGTGAATGCCCTTTTTATAGGCACAATGAGGGTGAGACTTCAGATTTCAGGTTTTTACATTTGGTCCCTAAAATTGTGACTTCTTCTTCAAGTTACCTTACTACTTCTCCTAATATTTCACTTTGACCCCCACCTAGAAACTTCTAGTAAATTCTTCCTCAATTGAACTCCCTAAACTAACCTTATGCTATTCTGAGATTTAACAAATTAGATTCAACTAAAGCCCAACCTCATTTAACCTAATGAAAATTAACTACAGCCTAATACCCTTAACATTGAACTAATCCTACAAACTAATGAGATCAGTAACTATTGAAGAATTCCATTAAACTAACAATTCAAATCACTAAGCTGCAAACAATCGTCAACAAAACACTGAATTCACAATTAACAAACTAAAATTCAAAACACTGAAGGATTATGAATTATTGTATGAACTAAACTAAACAACCAACACACATGAATTAAACGGATTTTAACCTAATTAGCGTTAACAACTAAAGAGCAGAAAGGACGCAAAATTAAAATTAAAAAAAAGAAAGCAGAAATCAATATGCGACTAAATGAAAACATGCACCAATCACACATAAAACCAAACAAAATTAAGCAACAGTTAAACATTAAAAATGAACGGAAACTCACTAAAAGATCCAG